TAACCACTGGGCCACTGGGGCTCCTTATGTACAGGTAGCAACGAAATGAAAACTTGCTGCCATCAAGTCAATGCTGACGCATAGCGACCCCCTGTGGCTTTCTGAGACTATAACTATTTATGGGAGTAGAGGGTCCAGTGTTTCTCTCGAGTGGCTGCTAGTGGTTTCAAACTGCTGACCATGTGGACCGCAGCCCAACTTGTAACCCCTACGCCACCAGGACTCCCATTTAGAGGGACAGAGTTAGGATTTCAGCACATATTGTTTGGGATGAGATACAGGGCAGACCTGTAACTCATTGAGTCTACGATGCCCCATTATTTCATCTGCTCTCAAAGAAGAAAGCCGGGCCAACTGTGGCTGCTTGTGAGATGAACACCAAGTTCCGCGCTGGACGCGTGTGCACAGTGGCATGTTCTGAAAATCTGTGAAACGGAAGTTACAGAGACACTGCAAGTGAACTGCTTCCCAAGGCCACCTTACTTATCAAATATGATGGCTCAGCTGCTGCTGAGTCCAGGGAAAGCAACTCGAAGGTGTAGCCTGCATCACAGGCTCAGGTGTTGGCGCCAGCTTCTGCTTCAGTTTGTGCAAAGGCATCGGGACGAGCTGCAGCCGTTGCAGAGCGGTTAGAGCAGGGCAAAGGCAGACAGCTGTTGATCTCAGATGCCACTGGATTCAGACATCCAGCAGTCTAGCAGGGAGAGGCAGCCCGGACCCTGGCAGCTTTAGCTGGAAACATGGCCATCTGTCCACCCGTCCGGCGTTTGCGTTCCCCTCTTCACTTGACGCGTTTTGGCGTCTGGGCTGTACCTCAATTGAGTGTCGTGGAAACAGAAGGGTATCTGACTCTTACAAGTTGAAAGATAACCTAACTTAGCCCTCACCCCGCTCTGGAGCAACAGGTAAAACTGTTCATCCCAGGGCTACAATCCTCTTAATGTTGGTTGAGACTCAACGTGTAAATAAAATCATAGACCACTAACACCTGTTGTGTGGGACGATTTGCTTAGTCTGTTTTTTGGTCATCCGCCACTTGCCACCTTGGACTATCCCAATTTTGCTGGAGCTTCAGGGGGGAAAAAAAAAAACCCACCCCACACACCAGCACACACCAATCTAAAGTTCAGGGCTTTTTATAGAAACACAGAGGCAGGCATATTAAATTATTATGCCACCTTCCTGCCAGACTTTGATTTTTTTGTGTGTGGATTCTCTGCTATAAAGCAACCCAAAGAGTTCCCAAGCCCGCGGCTGGCCGAAGGTCCTGAAAGAATAGTCTATCCATGTTAACTAAGGCAGCTGCCCATTCCCTTGGCAGGCAGGCAGGTAGGTCGCACACATCCCTGCCCAACAAAGGAGGAAGAGCCCAGGAGGCAGGGACGTTGGGACAGGAAAGGCCAGGAAGAGGTGCTGGCAGGGCTGGATTTCAGGAACTCATGTGTTCCTGGTTAGCAGGCCCGTGTGCGGCGGGGGACTGCTTTCTGGCTTTCATCCTAGGGGGCCAGATCCTCTGCTCTCGCCCTTTTGAAGTCAGGGGGCTGCTGGGCAGGGAGGAATCCTGTGCGCCTGCCTTTGTCAGAGGAGTAAACCCTGCTGGCCCCAGGCTTTGTTTGCCCGCAAAGACCCACAGCCGTGTGTAGTGAGCAGTTCTGTCAAAATGGGTCTCAAAAACCTGCTCGCAAAGCTTCCCTTCCTGACCGAGTGGAAATCTCTGAAATGTGCGCATGTGTGTACATCTTGTTGTTAGTTGTCTCCTGTCCGGAGCCTTGCTTCATTCCAGGTGCTTGGAAGCTTTTGTTTAGTCAGAATTCTCCGGGGCGTGTTTTTATTAAATTTTACTACTTGCACTCTCCAGAATGTGGACTCTTTTTCCCACCTATTTTTTGAAATGTGTATCCTGAGCCTTTCTCAGTTTTACTCCGTTTTACCCTCTCCTCTAAAGAATCAAACAATTCCATAGTCGCTTTTGACATTCTGAATCGCATTGTCTTCTGCATTCACATGCACTAATAACTTGGGGAAGAATTTTAAGATGAAGATTTTAAAAAAGAGAGAGAGATGTGGCATTTGTAAAGTTTTAAAAAAATCGATCTCAATTAACTGTGATTTCTTTCTTCAGAAAACCATGTGCTGAAATCATGCCTTGCCAGATGTGAGAGCAGGTTCCAACCCCCTCTTCATTCACACGTATTTAAGCCGATTTTCAGCCCTACTATTTTGGCCCGCCTTACACTCCATTGATCTGGTGAATGACTTTGTTGTTCAGATAAGTCGTACTTAGTCTGGGGAATACACGCCTATTTTAAAGCTTGTGCTTGGTGTTGTTGCCAACACCATTTGCCTTTTAGAGTTTGCAGATTCAAATGTAGCATGCCCGTTTTTTGTGAGCCATCTCTGCCAGTTTCTGATATAAATCACACGTCTATGAATGCTTCCCGTCAGCCGCACGCCAAAGCTAACATTACATAGCATGTTATTCCCCACCAAGCCTCGGGTGAGTCCAGCGCAGGACGGAGAAGGGGGCAGAGCCACTGGCCCCGAGTTCTGTTGCAAGTGGGCACATGCAATCCTGTCCCAAGTGGCTCAGGGGAGGGAGTATATGTTGGGCCGACATTATTTCAGAAGCTGTCATTTTTTCCTTTATTACTTAGTATGAGAACGCTAAGTTGGTGGTGTCAATTTTAGGTTGACGCTCTCGTCTATGAATTTAGGTGGACGCTTTGTGTTTTTGATTCCACGACTTTGGGCCCAGCAAAGAGATCCGTGCCATCCACTGCCCCCCTGGTCTAGGATGCCATTTCTGTATGTCCAGCGTTGGCCAGCTCCATTCGTTTCGGTCCGTTTGCAGATGCGTGTGAGCCCGTGCGAATGTTCAAAGTGCCCTCATTTACCGGTTGGTCCTCCTCGTGCTTGATTCCGTTCTCCAGCCAGCAAAGTACAGCACCCTTTGTGCATTCCTGTTTTTAACCCGCTGGTTTCGCCATCCCCAGAGCCACCAGGGCTGTGATTTTCAGGGCGTCGAAGAGGTTCGCAGAGGGGGGGGGGTGGCGTTATCTGTGCGCAGACATCTGTTCGCCACACAGAGAGCAGAGCTTGCAGCGTGTTACTTTTGATGCTTCCCACATAGTCTGGAGGCTCAGGCAGCAACCCCCTGGGGGATTTGTGAACGACGCTGCAGACCTAGGCAAAGCTGTCCCATGATGTGACTCGTCGATGGGTAGGTGGCAAGTGGAGGAGTATGCGCGGGGTGGGGATGGGATCTTCATAGAATGGCATGTGTGTTCTAGAGATTGTGAAACTACGGCGGCAAAGGAGATCCCTGCCTCCATGTGGCTGTTGCATCAGGCGCTTTACCGAGGGCAGCAACCTTAGTTACACAAGGGGAAAGAGGCACTGCTCCCTTAACCAAACCGTAAGGTGCAGCAAGGCACCTTGTAGACTGGAGGGGCAGGAGGGGCAGAAGGCAGTTGTCAGTTCTATCAGCTAATTCTCTGGTCGATCTTGGCCAGTAAACTCCGTGGTCAATCTGGCTTTATGGGATCCCATATCTCCCACTTGCAGATGAGAACTGAATCTCCATGGACCCCATTTAAAAAGATGTGTAGAGCAACCAGTATTAGTTGAGGAACGTAACCAGTTACTGCCACCTCTACCCAAAACCAGGGTGGTTCTATGTCAGATGGGGTAGAACGACGTTCTATTTTCAGATGTAGATTGCCAGGCCTTTCTGCTAAGGAACCATTGGGTGGACGCCAATCTCCAACCTTTATGCATCGAAGCCAAGCATCTTAACTGTTCGCACTAGCCAGGGATTCTAGTTTCTCCCTCGGTGCCAGCAGTACTGAGAACCAGTGTCAGATTCCTCCATACATCAGATAAGCGCAGGCTGACCCATGCCTACTTACTGACGAGTAGGCAACAATTCCACCTTTTTCTCACTGTCTCAGACATTCTGCTTCTAGGTCTGGCTGACATCTGTCTCTCTCCCAACCCCACAGCCCCTTCTGCAGGATCACAGCCTCTTTGCCAATGTACAGTCCCTAGCAGGGATGGCCTTACCTTGCCTAGTGAGTACTCCCGCCCCTCTTCAAAGAACTGAAATAAAAAAGTGCTGCCCCACAGATTCATTGTCCTGTGACAGAAACCAAAGTGGATTGTCCCCGTGGTCACTCGTTTACGTGCTGCACAATCCGCCCTTCTAGTAGTTGAACTTTCCAAATCGACTTCACCTTTGGTGGTTTGGCTGTAGAATCTGAGGCTAACAAGTCCTTTAACTTCAAAACACATCCACCTGGTGAGCTTTCAGTCTCTCCTTGTCAAACCACACAAGAGCGAAAGCCTGTCAGTGAAGTCCAGCCAGGGTTCGGGTGTTGTGCATGTCCTGGTCCTTGGATGCAGCTGGGTCGTTCGCAGCGTTTTATTCTTACTCCTTTGCCAGCCAGATGTTCGCCATCATGGAAGCGCCACTTGAAACTCCATCTCAGATAATAACTTGGAGTGGAAACATTCCTATCTTGGTCTGCCTGTCCTCTGGCATTCCACTTTCCCCTCCAAGTCTCCCGGGAATGTGGCAGTTTTGCCAGATGCTTAGGTGTGAGCCTTCACATTTCTTTTTTTAATCTTCATGACCGTTCTGTACCCTGTCTGCTTGAATTATAGATTGCATTTGTCAAATAATGACACATGCAATTGGATGTCTTCTAGGACCTTTGAAATTCTACTTCCGTAAGTTAAGATTAAAGTGGGTATTATCTGCGCGGCGGCAGCCGCGCCTGAGATGCGCCAGGCCTGCATCAGTGTTCTTCGAGATTGCCCAGTCCCGGCTCGGAGGGTCTGGAGGGAAGGCCCCTTTGTGCTTCGGAAAGGTAGAAATGGATACCGTGAAAACAGCCTAGAGTGTAGCCCCTGCTCCTAGGAAGCGACCCCGAAGTCCACAACTCCCTAGAGGATGGGTGTCCTTTGGCGTGTCCTGAGCATGTGTCTCTTTGGCCCTTCAGGAAGCATTATCGGTGGTGAGCGAGGACCAGTCGCTATTTGAGTGTGCCTACGGAACACCGCACCTGGCCAAGACGGAGATGACCGCATCCTCTTCCAACGACTATGGGCAGACGTCGAAGATGAGTCCACGCGTCCCTCAGCAGGACTGGCTGTCTCAACCCCCAGCCAGGGTTACCATCAAGATGGAATGTAACCCCAACCAGGTGAACGGCTCAAGGTACGGAGACCACAGATACCGTCCCGGCCCCTGCTTTTTTTTTAAATCCCGTGAGAGGGGCACAGTCTTTTAAGAAAGGGGAGGTCACCAGACGGTAACTCAGGGCCACCTTGAGAATAGGTGTCCTGCGGTGGTTTCGTGTGGAGGGTAAGGGTTGTAAAACCAGCAGTGTCTTCACCAGGCACTGGCTTTGAAGATGGGATTTCAGTTCCATTTCCCAGCCCTGAGTGGTGGTGGAAGGGGAGGGGGCAGCTTGCCCACACATGGCACAGGGTCTGTATAAGCCTTCCTGCCTTTGCTAAGGGATCAGCTCCCCCCCCCCCCTTCCTGGTGTACACGGTTCACTCTTATCCTTACTGATCCTGAAAAGGGAATTCTGGTGCCCCCGTGATGATTCATGTCCCTGGGCTTGTCTTGAAAATGCAGCTGTCACTTACAAGGCGCCATTGAATGAAGACCTGTCCCTGGCCCTCACCTGCATTTCACTCGATATGATGAAGCCTTGAAAAGTAAAGTTGATTTCAATTTTGACCCAATACCTCGCATAGATTCAGGAAAGAGGCTAAAAACCTCAGCGCAATGAAGAGCTGACTTCTTTTAATTAGCCCATGAGCTAACACAGATGGGGGCAGTGCGGTTCAGCAGGTTGGATCCCCAGCCAACGCACCTCGTGTGCGGTCAGCATTGATCTGTCCGTGGAGGCTTGTGTGCTGCTGTGATATGCCTGCAGATTTCAGCTGAGCTTCTAGACAAAGAACCAGAAAGCCACCAAACCAAACTCACTGCCATCGAGTCAGTTCCAACCCATAGGGACAATTTACAGGACAGAGCAGCACTGCCCCGATGGGTTTCTAAGATGAAATATTTACAGATATTTTGGAAAAGCTCAGCTTTATCCCAAGGAAGCAGCTGGTGGTTTTGAACTGCTGGCCTTGCCATACACAATGCCACCAGGGCTTGCTAGACTAAGAAAGAGGAGGAAAAATTAGCCCAGGGACCTACACAGGGACATGAGCCACCACAGATCTGCAGCCAATCAGGGAGACGGTTCGGGAGCAGGCTGCACTGCATTGCATTGTGCCGGGGATCTTCTCAGTCGGCAGCCCTGTGACAGAGGGTCATAGGACAGCTCACAGCAACCAGTACTTCCCTAGGTGGGAAGCCCTTTGCCATCCATAGCCCATTGGTCCCTCCAGTAGAAGAATGAAAACAGACTGTACTTCTCCAGGAGACACCGGGCTGCTTCAGGAAAAGCCCAGTGAGAACACAATTCTCCTCTCACCTCTGAGATCACCCTCCGTCTGAGGTTTGTGCAGGGCAGCCCCTCACCAACCAAGGCCAGGCACACTCTGCTTACTGCCAGGTGTACATACCACAGTCCACCCAGCTCTGTGCCCCCGGCCTGCTCCGGGCCCACTCTTTCTCTCTCTTCTGGATGTGTCCCTCCCTCTCACGCACACTCATTTTGTCTCTCGCATCCTCTTTCACGCTCCTCTCTTCTCCGTCTCTCTCACACATGATTGCATGTGTGCTCTCTCTGGACACGTGGCAACTTCTGAAGGTGAACAGCTTTTCAAGAACAATTGGACAGTCTTCCTGCCAGGGAACAATGGTCGCTAGGTGCCATCCCCTGAGCTGCGACTCATAGCGACCCGCATGTGGCATAGTGGAGCTGCCCTCTAGGGTTTTCTAGATTGTAGTTTTTGCAGAGAAAGTGTAAAAATTTCTACTTTGCACTTTACAGACGGATCGCTGGTGATGGATGTAGTGGGTTACTTGTTGAGCTGCTAACCCCACAGTTACTAGTTTGAACTCACCAGTCACTCTAAGGGAGAAAGATGACGCTTTCTGCTTCAGTGAAGATTTGAAACTTTGGGAACTCAGAGTGGCAGTTGTACTCTACCCCATAGGGTTGTGATGAGTTGGAATCAACATGATGGCAGTGTTAGTTTCCAATCTTTCCAGAAAGAAATTGCCTGCTCTTTCTGCTGCAGAGCCACTGGGTGGGTTCAAATAGCCAAGCACTAAATTTTCTCCTTCAAAAGAACATTGGGATCGTGAATAGTGTTTGCTCCCTGCAGGCCCACATTGAATTCTAAGAATTCCCAGGATGCTTCCACCAAAGACTTTTCAGACCCAGCATTGGCTCTATAAGCAGACAACAGGGTACGTGTGTGTCCCCCAGGCTTCAGTATCTTCCAGGGGGATATGTATTTGTTCTGTATGGATGCAGCCAATGAAGGATACAGTACAGAGATGCACACACACCCCTCCCAGAGTCCAGGGTGCCCCCTGAATTGGTGTGCAGTGCCTGCCTGGGGTTCTGTGGCTGGGGGAATGGTTCCATGGCCAGACTACCTACCATGCCAGGTTAGCACGTTCCTATTCCCAAGGACTCAGCCTGGCTGGCCAGGGAATGATAGAGGGAAGCCTTCAGTCTATGGCCCTGCAGAGAACTGAGATGTCATTGGCTGGCCAACTCTGCTCTTCTGAGCCCCCCAGGCTGCCTGAGAAGCTGTACAAGGAGGATGGCCTCAAAGCTTGGCAAAGCCCCATATCTCTCCTGGGGGATTAGCAGCCTTGCAGCAAAGGACCCAACAGATCCACAGAGGGTGCCTTTGAGCCCTGTGACCTTCTTGCATGTCAGTGCCAGCTCCCTAAAAGAAGTGTAGGCTTATGTTCATGCTTTCTATGGGGACACCGTGGAGGTAGAGAGGCTCTCTGCACACGGCACAAAGAGGATGCTGCAGGCGTGGGGTTGGGTGTTTGAGACATCGTTTGTGGGGGGCACACAATCTGCAGAGGTGGGTGTGGCTCTTGATGGGATTGGCTTGGTGGTTCTGGGCTTCATTCTGGGCCTTGTTCATGGTTCGCAGGTGTGAGTGTGGCTCTTGGGAGGTAGGCGCGGTTATGGGGTGAGCATGGTCACGTGAAGAGGGCACTGTTCTGCAGGCCTGGGCTAGCCTCTGGTGCGTGAACTTGCTTGCAGTCCAAACGTCCCACTTGTGTGCATCCTTCCAGCCTGCACAGTCTCCTCCTCCGGTGGAAGTCATGGGAGAAAAGAGACCCGTGTCAGTCTCAGCACAAAACCATTTTCCGACCGTTTCTCCTCCGAGCCGAGGCGTCGTGTGTGTGTGTGTGTGTGTGTGTGTGTGTGTGCTTCCTGTAACAGAGAACATACGCTCTGGAAGACCCGCAGGAAGTTACAGGCATGGGAAATGGGATTGGGCTGCAGCAATGCCCTTTCTGGCTCTTCACTGCGCTTTCATGGGGCGATGCCCACCTTCCTCTGATCTTGCCAGATCATGGCAGCGATTGCCAACGACGACGACCCGGGGTGGCATAGGAAATCAATCCCCTCACCGTTTTGCGGCCGATTCCAAAATCAAGGTATTGGGAGGGTTGGTTCTTTCTGGAGACAGAGAATCTAGCTCGAGAATCTCCCTAGCTTCTGCTCGTTGGCTGTGGTCCTTGGTGACCCTCAGCCTGTAGACACAGGAGTCCACGTTCTCCTGTGGCCATCTTTCTCTGTGGCTCTTGTCCTTGTCTGGAAGGGGACCACCCATACTGAACTGGGACTCATGCACCTCCCGTGTGGCTTCATGGTAACTGATAACATCTTTAGAGACCCTCATTTCCAAGCAAGGTCCCGTTCACGGGCACCAGGGCTCAGGACCTGGACAGGGGGTAGGGGGAGGCCCAGCTCATTGCATAGCCCTCAAGGAACCTTGTCCTTAGCAATGGCCCTCCTTTCTCCCTATCCATCTGTCAGCCCTGGAGGGAAAGGTCCAATGCTTTGAGGCTGAGTTCCCAACTAAGTGGTGGAATGCCGCAAAACCTCAGCCCTGATGTGCTTACAAGCTCCTGAAATGAAATATAAGCGGTGACATTCGATCTATTGCCATTACAATAGAGCCTCTGTGTATATTTATAAACATCAAAGGAAAACAGAAGGAAAAGAAACCACGGCCTTGTGAGCCCACTGGGAAGTCATTGTGGATTTGGCCTGGCTGCTGCCATATCAGACACTAGGCTTCTGCCAGACACTGATCTTGTTGCGTGTTGTGTATATCCGAGACATCACTTCTCAGCTCCAGCAGTCCATGGCCAGCCTCCCTTTCCCCTTTCTTCACTCCCAACTCACAAAAATCCCACGTCACTGTGTAGCCAAACTCACACCAGCTGTTTCTCTGCACTGTCCTGCTGGGGGAATTGGCACCTGTCTGGTCCTGGCAAGCTCTGTTAACGGACTTGAACACGGAGCTCAAGCCACTACCGACCAGCAAGATGGGCCAAGAAATAGCACACACACCATGTCCATGAAGCAGTGGTCTTCCATTGTTATATACTCTGCACAGTGTGGAAAGCTGGTTGCTGCCCCTCCATCTTGTAAATAAGCAGCCCTTCCTCAGAGCAGCGGGAACCCAGGGAGGTTACAGTGGGCACCTACCATGCCCTTTTGCGTTCATGGAAACCTGGGAATCTTGAGTAGGTCACCTGGAGACAAATTGTAGGTAGATTGTATTGGGTTTGTGCCCCATGCTGTGAGCCCTTCCCGGACCCAGCCCCCAGACCACCTGCAGCCATAATTTACTGGTCATTCTCTTGAGGGGGAGGGAAGAGTCTCTTCCTGTGATGGTTCTCAAAGTGGGGCTCCAGGATCAGCACTACCTGGAAGTTAGAGAGGGCCATTCTCAGGTGCTGCTCTAGGTCTAGAAACAGAGCCAATAAAACAGTGTGTGTGTGTGTGTGTGTGTGTGTGTGTGTGTGTGTGTGTGTGTGTTTAAAGAGAAAGGAGAAGATTCTAAAAAATCAGTTCTGTCATTTGGGGGCTGACAAGATGAAGACCCACTTGGCAGGCTGAAGACTCAGGCAGCAGAATTGAGTCTGAATTCCTCCTTCTCCCAGAAACCTCAATCTTTGTTCCTAAGGCCTTCAACTAATTGGCTGAAGCCTACACACATGACTGAGCATAATCTCCCTGAGTTAGAGTTAAGTGA